AGTATTGTCCAACCAAATCCTTAAGACTTTCAATAACTTTTATCATCAAAGTGCTACTTTTTTATTAGATTTAATATGCTGATAAATATTTATTGAACTGAGCCTAGTTTGATACACTGTTTGATGAAATTAGATCTTTTTGGATTTCATTCAATAGTTTGACAAAAACCATGTTTATGAAGCTACCTAAATGAGATTAACTGGTTTGTGATACTTAATAACTCTTGAATTGTGCCAACTTTGGCACAAGGTCATGTTTATAGAGTTCCTAATTAAGAACTAAATTTCAATGGCTACTAAAACAGATTTTCTTATGACACTAGTAAAGCCACCAAAGGAAGTAAGCAACAAGAAAATTTTAAAGATAATGGCAAAAGAAGAAACACTTATACTCATAATCAGGACCTTGGACCCATAATGAGGAAGGAGGGCTTGGAAAGCTTAAACCTCACAAGGCATATTGAGGGCAAGAGAGATAGAAGGAACCAGTGAGCCACTTAAATGACAGGTTTGTATGAAAGGATGGCGGAATGGAGAGCAAGAGCTTTAGCATAGAGGGAAAAACTACTAAGCTTCCTAGAGGATAGGAAGTTGTGGAGGGCCGTGATCCCCTCTGTTATGAAAGGACATGGCCCATAGAAGAAGAAAACCAGTTGTCAGAAATTTTAAAATGCCCAATCTGAGTTCAAAGGTTAAACAATCCAAATGAATATAAACAAGATACATCCACAAAGCTTCTTTGCAACTTGCAAAGAAGACATTGCATAAATTATTATCCAGTTGTTCTCTAGTATTTCTTTCATCTAATTTTCAATTGTTTTATTTACACTAGTAGTAATATTAATTATTTTATTAAATGAAACATATCAACAATTCTTAATTTTTGAAATATTAGTATTAATATTTTGACAACCATAATTTCATTTGCTTTATTTAAATTAGTAGTAATAAGTAAATAATATGTTGAATTTTATGAGGTGAAACATTGTCAACCATTATTAGTTTTTTTAGAATTTCTTGCATCTTAAATTCAGTTGCTTTCTATCACAGCAACTCAGACCATCATTCAATAATTAAGTAGCAGTGATAAGCATCTGGCAATATTCAAACATAAATTCTCTCAGCAATTCTGCTTTTCCAGAGCTGCTGCTTTACTAATTTGGCTACAAGGAATAACTTGTTTCAAATATAACCAGAGTGCTTTCATTTTTTAACTTCACCAAATACATTACCATCTTTATTTACATGTAATCGTAGTATTAGCTATCTTTCAATTTATTAGCTAAAGTTTTGTTAATTGTTAATTTTTGACAAGTATTTATTTCATCTTAATTGCAGTTGTTTTTATTGCAGTTCCCAAACTGTCAGTGGCTGCCCCCAACATGTAAATATGTGATTGACCCAGCTGCACCTAGGATGTGCACATGTGGGAAAAACTGTATGACAAGTAGATATATAAATGCCCACTAGAAAAAGGAAGAGAAAATAGTCTCTTGCACTCCCCATCCACAAGAAGAAGAATCCCCATTCAAAGAAAACCCCATCACCAAAATTAATTGACAAAGTCTGAAGTTAAATAATGAATAATTTTTATTTATGAGAGTTTTAGTTATGTGTCATCATTAGTCAGCAGATGATGACATTGCAGTCACATATTTCTCATCAGTGTCAGTTTCAAGCCATTCCCTAAAAGAATAATTGATACAACTCAATCTATTTATTTTTGTTCACCTTCATTTAAACAGGCTAATCTATGCTTTCTATGAGTTCTCTCTGAAAATGAACTGGCCATTAATGAAAAAATAGCCTATGGCACCTTACTCCTCTCCAAAATATTCAAAGAAACTGTTAACATAGAATTTATAGGTAGATGTAATCATAAGTTTGATGCTAACAGTTTCTTCTCTCCACTTTTTGCTTGTGGAAATGTCTTCTGGCTTTTTGCTTTCCAATTAACTTTGATCTTCAAAAAATTAAATGCAATGTCAATTGTTATCTTCTGTCTTCTTAATTCATGTTCTTTTATTGTTCTCTCTCCCTAATAATATTTTTCTTTTTCTCATATTCAATAACCCCTTGCATCTTAGTGGCTTTATTGCCTTGCTTAGAGTGAAACAAAAGTCTTTTGGGATTACCATAAACTACCTTAATCTATTCCTCTTAATCTTATCTTGTTTGAAGTCTCCCTGTCAATGGCAGAAACCAAAAGTCACTGGATGCCAAATTTGGGTTGTAGCATGAAATGACAGACCTGAGTGATGAAATGTTTTGTCAAAAATCTTCTGCCCACTCTGCCATTAGGAATGTAATGGTAACAAATTACACAGACTCACTCAACAATGTCCTCTGAATGAGTAACATGATATATACAAAATCATTGGATATGTCCCACACTGATTTTGCAAATATAAAAGACAATATATATTGAATAATTTTACTGCAGGTTTTTGTCAATGCTCATGTTAAAATATTTGCTATCCAATTGACACATTCCTTGTACTTAAAATGAAAAATAATTTTGGCACATTTTATCATATATTTATTGCTACTTGCTCTATATAAACAGGATGTTGGGGGTTGTAATGGATAGTGGCTCAGAATGAGAAATCAGTGAGTCAAATTTGAGTATCGTTGGAAAAGGGATGAATCCATCTTCTCCCTCAGTTATTGGTTAAATAGTTGTAAAAATCATTGTCATTCTCAAAAAAACTTGTTAATGCAATATTTACTTGTAAAAAAGAATTTTTTCTTACAATCCATACAATTATGGATAAACTGTACAAAGTTCATGTTTGTTCTGTTTCGTTCAAGTAATTTTGACCATTACAGTTATTATCAAGAACCATGTGCTTTCAGTGTGATATGCAAGATTCCACTGGCTACATCTTAGATTTTCTTATGGAAAAGTTTGAATTCAACCAAAGTAATGGCATGTAAGCAAGTGAGACTGCACCAGAAAAGCATGTATCCATTATTATTATTATTATTATTATTACTTTGCATACATATTAATATTAAATATTTTATATGCCTATTTGTGGTTGCAACCAATCTAGGAGAAGGAAAACTCTGAAGTCAGAACTACCTCGAAAACTGATGTGCACCATCAGACTGTTTTGTATAAAATAAACCTGATAGATTACACATGATGTGGGGGAATAGTTTACCCAGCTCCTCACTCTGTCAAGGTTGACAATAAGAGTAACAGTTTTCTGCCACTACTGTCTTGACAGATAAGTGAGTAGTAGTGCTTGAATTCTTCTCCATCAAGCATCTTTCCATATATCTTTTGATGGTATAGAGTTCAGGGAGAAGTGTGTTCATGCCTGTCCTAAGAATATTGGTTCACTGATTCTATTTTCATGCTAGTAACTGCTGAGGCAGATCAGACTAAAAATGGAGTATTGCTGCAATATCTGGGTTGGAGTTGCCCAATATTCACTTCTCAATGTTCACTTGACAGAGTTCAAAAGCGTTTATACAGCAGTGTGGGTGATGAATTATTTTCAACCTTGCAGACCCTTTCCCACAGATGAAACATTGATGAGCATCACTGCTTTGTTACTATTTCTATGGCAAATATTGGAAAAGATATGAAACTATCTTCTCCCCCAGCTATTGGTTAAATAGTTGGACTGGAAAAATTTCATTCTTAAAGGTTTGTCTTATGTAAAATACCCTGATGGTGCACATCAATCTTTAAGCTAGTCTTGAATTCAGTTTTCCTTCTTGTAGATTGGTTGCTACCACAAATAGGCATATAAAATGCAACAACTTCATTCAATAACCTTCTCTCTTGAGTGGCTCTTGGGCCTTGTGAACATTTAGTAAAAAACATATTCTTCAAAATTAACTTTCTATTACTCTGGTACAAAGCATATTTCCTTATAATCAAGTCACCTAAGTCATAGTATTGTAAAGATAATGCAAATCAGAGTTAAAGCATTAACATTCAAATATCTTATTTATTGAATCTTTATTACAAGCATGTTTTATGCTTCTCATTTACACATTATGTTTTATTTAATAAAGTTATTTATAATGTAGCTTTTTTTTTTAATGACTCATATCAATCTCAATAGGCGAAAAGATACAATTCATAATTCCTCTTCTGATAACAATTCAAGCCTGATTCACCTCTCTCCTGTTGTCTTTGAGATGCCTTCACTTGAAAAAAAAAATTAAAAGGAAGGATCAACTCTCTAATGAGTAAAGGAAGAAATTGCATCTACAGAAATGTCAGCAGATGCAACCATGCTGTTGGCTTTTCTGTGATTGAACCAAACTCTTCAATATAGATTAAATGAAGTTAGAAAAAGCTGGGTAGATTCATCGCATAAAAAAGGGTGGGGCTGAAACTTGAATAAGATACTAAAAGAGGAAGGAATGAAGGCATAAGATCAACAAGAAAAAGAAATTAAGAAAGAAAGAGGAAGAACTGAGAATATTGTGAGATGAAAAGGTTTCTGAGAATTTAAACATTTTGCTTGTTAGAAAGAAAAAACTGCATTTTTTAATGGTGTCTTTTTCCTTTTAAACTTATCATTCTTAGCTTCTTTCTTTCCTGTTTCATTTTTAAGCTATGTTTTTTATTTGATCTTCTCTTCTTGTTTTTCTTGTTTTTTTTTTCACTATTATTTTTTTCTTGCACCACTAATTCTTGCAATTTTTTTTTGCCTATACTTTTATTTATTTATTCAACTTTTCCCCTTAATTATTATTATTATTATTAAATAACACTTCTCATATTCTATCTTCTCATTCATTTTCTTTCATTGTTTCACATTAATTTTTCATTCCTCCTCCACTTTTTATTTATTTATTTTCCTAATTGTTTTTCTTCAAATTCTCCTTCTATGTTATAAGTCTTTCTTGGCCCATTTTAGTTTTCTTATATTTTTCACAAACAAATTTTTTATCTTTTCTTTTTTTTTTAGATCTTTTATTGATTTACTTAGAACTTTTTTTATTTTCTTTTAAATTAGTTGTTTTTTTGTTAGGTTCCTTCTTTCCTTATTTAAAATTTTGTTTTCTCTTTCCTTCTTTCTCTTTCCTATTTTTTACTTTCTTTTTTCTTTCCTTTTCTTTATTTCTTTTTCTATATATTCCCTCTTTCTTTCCCTCATTTTCTTTCATGTTTTCCCTTTTCAAAGAAAACAAAAATCACTTTGTTCTTTCTTTTTCTTTCCTAGTGAGTTTTTCTTTTTCATTTTCGCTTTCAATGCTTTTTTTTCTTTCTTTCTTTGAAGACATACATCCTTTCAATTCATTTTAA